GCGATGCCTGAAAGTGCGAGGGCAGTGTGGGCAGTTGAGACGAGCTTGATGGGTATAGGTGGGTGCTCCAGGCACTGGTTCGCCAGTCTCTGTGCGATGGATTCGCAAGTGACCGATCAGGCCGATGCGTGAGGTGAATGTGCGTGGACAGTGTGGGCATGAGAAGTCGGCGGTGTCAGTGTCAGCTAAAGAGGAGGCGGTGGTGGTGGTGGAGCAGACGGATGGAGCGAGGGTGGGGGTGTGCACGGTGGATGTGGTGGGTGTGTCGGGAGTGCGGTCAAGGCCGCTATCGTGGATGCGCATGTGGCCAAATAGGCCAATGCGATGCCTGAAGGTGCGAGGGCAGTGTGGGCAGTGGAGGCGAGTGCGGTGGGTGTAGGTTGGTGCTCCAGGCACTGGCTCGCCAGTCTCTGTGCGATGGATTCGCAAGTGACCGACCAGGCCGATGCGTGAGGTGAAGGTGCGGTCGCGGTGAGGGCAGGTGTAGTCCTGATCCTCATCGCTGGAGTCGGGGGAGGTGGTGGTAGTGTCGGTTGCTGTGTGTGGGACAGTCGCCTGAGCGGCCGCCGTTGGAGCAGTGGGCGAGGAGGAGGAGGATGAGGATGAGGAGGAGGAGGAGGAGGATGAGGAGGAGGAGGAAGAGGAGGAGGATGAAAGTGGTGATTCAGAAGAATTGTCAGAGATAGTTGGCGGCGGAGATGGGAGGAAGAGGCGGGCGGGGGACGATGGTTGGTGCAGTTCGAGAGGCGCAGTTAGTCCGAAGATGCCCAACAAGTCCGATTCGTGCCCGGAATGTCCGTTGACATCGAGGACACGTTGGAAGCGGTTGTGCGGCGGCGTTGCGTACTGGGCGAAGTTGTGATTTGCGGGCTTCGCGTTTCGCTTTGGCGGCAGCGATGCGGTTGGCTTCGTAGATCGCAGCGTCTGTCTTCTCTGTCCTCCTCCAGGTCGGTCGATCGAGTGCGAGCTCCTCCCAGTTGGTGGGGTTGATTTGCAGGCGTTTCAGGGAGGACTTCAGGGTATCCTTGTAACGGCAAATCTGGCCTCCTTGACGGCGGGAACCCGTCGCGACGTTTCCGTAGAAGAGTCGTTTGGGTAGTCGCTCGTCGTCCATGCGCACAAGGTGGCCGCTCCAGCGCAGCTGAATTTGCCTCAGTATGGCGTAGATGCTGAGGATTCCCGTCCGTTCCAGCACATCAGTGTCGGGGATTCGATCCTGCCAGTTCAGCCTCAGGATGCGACGAAGACAACTGAGGTGGAAGTGGTTCAGACGGCGTGCCTGCTTTGCGTACAACGTCCAAGTCTCCGTTCCATACAGTAGTGTCGGCAGGATGACGGCCTTGTACATCTTTAGCTTCGTGCTTAGTTGAAGGCCGTGACGATTCCAAACTGTGCTTTGGAGGCGACCGAAGGCTTGACTGGCTTTCGAGATCCTGTTGGCGACTTCGTCATCGATCTTGGTGTTGCGGGAGAGAGTACTGCTCAGGTACGGGAAGTTCTCCTCCACTTGCAGTTGGGTTCCGTTCACGGTGATTTGCGGCGGCGCGTTGGGGGCTGTGACTGAGTGGGGTGGCGGTTGGTGCATCACCACCGTCTTCTGCGTGTTATTGACCAGACCGAAGTTCTCCCAGGCGGCAGAGAACAAGTCCATGCTCCGTTGAATCTCCTCTTCCGAGGTGGTGTTCAGGGAGCAGTCGTCGACGAAGAGGAGTTTGAGAACGGTGGTTGTGGATACGCGCGATTGGAAGTGCATCCGCCGCTGATTCAGCAGGTGACCGTCCGTCCTGTAGGCGATGCGGATCCCGGGGCGTTCGTCGCGGTAGGCGTCGATCAGCATGACAGAGAACATTAGGCTGAAGAGGGTAGGTGCCAGTACGCAGTCCTGCTTCACTACGTTGGTCTCTGCGAATGCCTCTGATACAGCTCCGTTGTCCGTGACTCGCGCCATCATACCATCGTGCAGCTGACGCACCATCTGAGTAAATCGCTCCGGACAGCCGAATTTCTGCATGATCTTCCACAGTCCTTCACGATTCACCGTGTCGAAGGCTTTCGTCAGGTCCACGAAGGTAGAGTACAGGTGGGTCCGCATCTCCTGGCACTTCTCCTGAAGTTGGCGTGGGTCCGCATCTCCTGGCACTTCTCCAGAAGTTGGCGGGCGGCGAAGATCATATCCGTGGTCCCACGATGACGACGGAAGCCGCATTGGCTTTCCGGCAGAAGGCCCTGTTCCAGATGGTTATTGAGGCGGTTGAGGAGGATTCGTGCGAAGATCTTCCCGGCGATGTTCAGCAGGGAGATGCCGCGGTGATTGTCGCAGACTTGGCGATTCCCTTTGCGCTTGTAGAGATGCACGATGGTTGCGTCTTTGAAATCTTGCGGGACTTCACCTTGACGCCACATCTCTTGGAAGAGCGCAGTCAGGCGATCCATCAGTTGGGGACCTCCGTGTTTGTAGACCTCAGCAGGGATTGCGTCCGATCCGGGTGCTTTCCAGCTGGAGAGCTGCTGCACGGCCCTGATGGCCTCCTGGAGAGATGGCGGGAGGTCGAGGTCCACGTTGGTCTCCACTTGCGGCAAACGCTCGATGGCGGCGTCGGAGATGACGGAGGGGCGGTTGAGGACGCCTCGGAAATGCTCGGCCCATCGCTGTAGGATTTGCGTCTTCTCAGTCAGGAGAGTGCTGCCGTCGGCGCTGAGGAGAGGAGCAGTGCCCTTCGTCGGCGGACCGTAGACAGCTTTGATCGCAGAGAAGAAGTTCTTCCATTCGTTGCGGTCCGCGTACCCTTGGATCTCCTCAGCTTTGCGAGCAGTCCAGGCGTCCTGCATCTCGCGCAGTCGTTGCTGAAGTTGGCGGCGACTGCGGTAGAAGGCAGCTTTGGTGGCATCAGTGGGGTTATCTAAGTAGGCTTTGTGTAGGCGGTTCTTCTCAGCAAGCAGATTTCTGATAGCGGCGTCGTTGTCGTCGAACCAGTCCTGGTGTTGGCGGGGAGCGCGACCGAGGACGGCGACCGCCGTCGACTGGACTGTGTCACGCAGTTGACACCAGCGGTTCTCCACGGAGGCGCTCTCGGCAGCGGCGGCGTCGGCAGCGATAGGAAGGTTGTCTAGCCTTTGAGCTAGCTCATTGCTGAAATGAAGATGGTGAGCATGCAAAGACAACAAGGCAACATTCAGCTTACCTTGTGGTCTCCTGCGAGGCTGTAGGCGAATACGCATCTTCGAGATGACGAGGCGATGGTCGGTCCACCCGTCAACACCCGCGATCGCCTTCGTCATCAGCTCGTCCCGCTGATCTCGCTTCCGGACGAGGACATAGTCCAGCAGGTGCCACTGACGCGACCGAGGATGCCTCCAGGTGGCCTTCTCTCGCTCCGGCAGACAGAAGAACGTGTTCGTCAGGATGAGGCGGTGTTCTGCGCAGGTGCGGAGAAGCAGCAGACCATTGTCGTTTGAGCCGCGGAGACCGTGGGGACCCAGCACTCCTCTCCAGGCATTATGGTCTGTGCCGACGCGGGCGTTGAAGTCGCCAAGGACAATCAACTTGTCCGCCTTCGACACAGTCGCCAAGAGGGCGTGCAGGTCCTCGTAGAATTTGTCTCTGACGGCGTCGGGGTTGGTCATGGTCGGAGCGTAGGCGCTGATGATGGTGTCGAATTGGCCCCCCCGCCGGAGAGGCAGGCGGAGGCTCATCAGGCGATCGTTGATGCCCTGCGGCAAACAGGGCAGTCGTCCCACGATGTCGTTCCGAATGGCGAATACGACACCCGCGTCCTGTCGCTCTGCCCTGGGTCGACCGCTCCAGAAGAAGGTGTAGCCGGCACCTACCTCCTCTAGTTGCCTTGTTCGGAGAAACGGGTCTCGCTGAGTGCGGCGTTGTCCACCTTGTAGCGCGCCAGTTCTCGTGCCACTAGCGCCGTCCTTCGTTCCGGTCGGTAGCTCCTCGGATTGTCTAAAAGAAAACAAACATTCCAGGCTGCCAGAGTGAGCGCGCTCACCCTGCCAGTCTGGTGACAACGAGTGGGGCGACGGGAAGGAGATGGAGAAGAAGATGACGAAGGAGAAGAATAGGCAGAAGAATAGACGGAGGTAGAGGAAGAAGAGGTAGGATGAGGAGAATGAGTATGGTTGTTGTTGTTATTGGTATTCTTGTTGTTTCGATTTTGATTGTTTCGACCATGTTTAGACGTCTGCGGCCCTGGCTAGCCTGGAGACGGCGTGGTACCCAGCAATGTTTAGGCCACCTTTTCTAGGCCCTTCCCCTCGTGGGGGCTGGCAGTGCCATCCCTGAATAGGGCTGCCATGTGCCGTTGTGGCACGGCCGAACTCCACTATGGGGCCACGACTTCGGGTTGTAGAGGAGAGCGATTCGAATTCGCCGTAAGCCGCGGTCTCCGGCGGCGTAGGTGGGCGCGTCAAGGCGATGTCGATGTGGAGATCCATCCCGTCACCGACTGTCCAGCGGCGTGCAGAGACGAGCCACGTCACGACGGCGCCGAAGCAAGGTTCCATCCCACCTTCCATCCAGCGGAATCCGCAAACCCTGTGCACACGGCACAGCATACATGGCCTCCTCACCTGGTTTAGCCCGCCGGTCGAGACGGTTGTCCGGGGTGTGGCCGCTGAGCAGAGCCCAGCTACGTGGAGCCACAGATAAGAGTTGAGTGCCAGCAAGTGAACGCTAGGTGTAGTCTCACCTGCAAGCAAGTGAGCGACCACCACGACCATCGCGTGAACCCACCGCTGACACCCCTACACCCCGCTGTAAATATATAAAAGCCAAGTGCACGAATTGTGCCTTTGCTTACCGTCTCCTAAGGACTGCACTCGAAGCACGTCCTACACAGCATGTCATAATTCCAACACGACCCCGCAGAGGGCAAAAACTAGTTGTTTGGATCTCGTAATTGCTGAAGATCCACACAATATGTACGAGGTATGGTGTCAATCTTTGTTCAGTCGAATATGTTCTGCAGTATTTCATGCGAGTGCTGTCTATATTTTGTGCCATGTGCACATTTTTGCTAAATTAGAGCAGAAGCGTCACGAATAGACTTGGGTGTTCTATTCGCCGCCAACCTCAACGAGAACAGCAAGTTATTCAAAAAACGCCTTTTGCGTTTTGCAGAGCCCCACTGCCCCTTATCAAGACTCAGGAAGACTAACTGACCTTAGTGGCCAACAAGAGACCTTAATAGAGGTAAACAAAAAAGGAAGATTGCAGAAAACAAATGAGCTTGCTATGATCATCTGACCACCCGCGCTTTCATTTCGCCTGACGGCGGATCGGCGTCGACAACTGGGTGATTTACGAATACACATAGACGATTAACAAATCGACTGCAGTCATTTATGAAAGTATCACAGCGGGTGTAATCACCTGCTATAATTGGAGGAGTTCGAAATTTCGTCAAGCATGCAGGCGCTTATCAGTCGAATACTGCAATACTTACCCGGTCGAAAAGCTATCTCACCACGTGAAACGTTCTACAATGCATTTGGAAGTCGCCATCTTAAGGGACGTGCGATGGGATAACAACTACCTCCTGTAACAACTGCGAAACCCGTGCGACCCCCTGCCCTACAGTGATTCCGTCTGTAAGGATGGATTCGAGTGCAAATCCGAAACGTCGGGCAGACAACGCTCTTGTTCCAGCGGTCGTATCTTCTTCTTTGTGACTGCTTCCTGGTAATGGACGTCCTTCTACAATCGATAACTCGAGTTTTTCCAAAAAACCACCTATTTGTCCTTGTATGAGCTCGAAGTGCATACTACCTTAAATCTACGATATATATGCATATATGCGATGCCCTGACGACCGAGAGCGACGGCGTCCACCGCTGGCCTCACAGAGTGGGTGCAGAACTGTCGCCCTGTATGTGAATAAGTTTATAGTGGGCAGACCTGCGCAGCAACTGCTGTGCTCTCTCCTCTCCCCCCCGCCGCGTTTCGATAACAAGGCAGTGTCGAGACTGCCGGGACTAGGCACAAGGGCAACGGTCGACACAGTCAAACAGCTGGTCTTTGCGTGACACATCTGCGATTTGCCCTCCACTATGTGCACCCGACTACATCAGAGGACATGCCCACCATTTATGTGAGATGTGCCTGTCCGAACATGCGTTCTTTCAGTCGCGGTACCGGAAGTGGTGGGGTATACCTATGTGAGACTTCCCAGTCCTGAAGCATGTTAAAGGTACGATGCCTATTGTTAATTACTAAGTGTCTCAAAAATTAGGTCAGACGCAACGCTGTCTGGGTAGCACTTAGTGGCTTGGCGAACGCAATCAGGAGCGACGGGCATAACTAGGAGCTCATGGAGGTCGTAATGTTGAGTAGCGCGGCCTGAACAACGTGAACTACCTGCGACGAACAGTAAAAACGGTGACCGACACTCAGAGGAGAGTCATCACGACCTTGCATTTGCTGTGCCCTTTAACTAGGACTCTTGCAACGCCAAAATATACCACAGCACTTTCCAATTTTCAGAATGCAACTTCTCCTCTGACAGATCCCTGTACTTTAAATGAGCGCCGTTAGGATTTTCACTCATGGGAAACCACTGGTCTCCACACAAATACCGGCCTTGTGACCCATTAACTGCGTGACAGCCACGTTTTCTGGACCGATAACTCTCAACACTAGCCACTACATGATGTGACATATCTCCCAGAACGTGATAACTAAAATCAAAATCCGCCTAACCGGGCCTGGAAAATGTCCTCTTTCCACGTAGAATACATTTATAGATAATTTTTTCAAGCAAAATATCTAGTAATTTGAGTGGAAACTTACGTTAATTTGAGAAAGATTAATTAGATTAGATACGATACCGATTAGCATGCATATTCGAAAGATATTTCGGTCACGCAGAAGTGTCAGCTTTTGAGTGCGCACCTCCTCGGCCACCCCTAAATATTCCCCTCCGGAAAAACAACTCAAGCCTGCCAGCACCAGCCCCGCCTAGCCCCGCCTGGCCCCCTCAATAATGGCGGGGCTAGAGGGGGCTATGAGGGGGCTAGGCGGGGCTGTGGAGGGGGCTGTGGCGGGGCATGCAACGCGATAGCCCCGCCTAGCCCCGCCAGCGAAAAAAATGCGCAGGGGACGCCACATCCTCGCCCACTTTTGGCACCATTTTAAAATATCGTCCTGTATACCGAGTCCCCTGGGGCGCAGTGCCTCACTGTTCCCACAGGTTGCACGTCGGAAGCCACCCTGCGTACGTAGAGTACTACGGTATTACATAGTACTCACAGTGACCCCGCCGTACACGTGCCCACTAATCGGCAGCCAATATCAAATACACGCGACGCAAATTCATGTGAATGAGTTATTTATTGTATAAACCAAAAAGGAATTGGAAAATATGTACAATCATAATAAATGTCAGTGCCAGTATATACATGGACTTCAACATATGTTATGCCATTCAGTTGTGCGTTCCAAAAGTCCCCGCTTCGACGGCTGGTGCTTCAGTGATAGCCAGAGTAATTACGCTTCATAATTGCTTTGGACATTCAGTAAAAAACGATAAACAATTAGTATAAGTGGACTACGAACACCAAGGCTAAATACTACATACATAGACATACAACTCGACTACTTGAACTGGCTGGTGAGTAGATACCTAAACAATTAGCATAATATACATAAATGAACTAATACAGCTCTCAAGAGCATGAAAACAGCATTGGCTGACTCACGATATTATCTGCAATCGATTGTCAAATATACGAATAAATAACACACACAGATTCTAATCCGGTGGACAAATGAGAGTTTACGCAATGAGGGACTTAAACAAAACCTCAGTATATTGTGCTCATCCGCAGCTACATTCATTGGGCGTTAACGGATGTTTTCTCCATGACTTATAAGCCAATTTAGATAAATTAGCTCCTTTTAATGCCAAAGAAGGTACAATTATTGGTGCTTTTGAAACATATCTTTTGATGCAAATACGCTTCAAAATGCTTCAATCCAGATGGGGCTCTGGCCCCACACAGCCCCTTCCAGCCCCGCCTATGAAGGAGCCATGTGCTGGCGAGGGGGCTCTGGCCCCACCCAGCCCCGCCTATGAAGGGGCAATGTGCTGGCAGGGAAGTAGTCTAAATGTTCCTCATTGACTTTCGACGCCCTAACTTGAACCAAACATATTTGGCGGAAGACTTACATAAAAAACTCTTCAGTGAGTTCATTTAGTAGTGGATTAACCTTCAAAGGTCCTGTTCAGATGATGGGCAGCACTTAATTTTAGGAAGTTTGCAATGACGACATTTCACAGGACCGTGAATGCCCACCACAGCAAGACTCAATCCAGTTGTTAATTAACGTCCCTTATGAAGTACCCAATGCAATCTTTAACCATTACGAGATTTCACGAACCCAACGGGGGATCTCTTTGACGGAATTGAACAATGTGTAATTTAACTTAGATGGAAAGCGTGTAGTCCGTCGTTTGGAAATCTTAAAAGACTGGTCATGTCCAAAATGTTCGGGTATCAAAAGCACTTCTCTGAAGTCGGAGCATGTTCCTTCCCCAAATAAAAATATTCCAAGACGACGTATTTTTTCAAACGCGCACAATAAAAGGATTCTTGCGGTTCCGTATGTTCGAATCCATAGGGGAACCGAAAATCAATGGATAAAATGCATTTTACCTAGGTAACCACTTTTAGCGAGAGTACATTCGAGAGCCGGTACCCTGGTGCGACTGGAATATCTTGGGACTATGCTGCCTGATGCTTACGCCATAGCAACACAACGTAATCTGCAACCACTGCGAGCTTTTAAGAACTCTGCATAGGAACTCCCTATCAGAATTGATGAATAGATGGTTCTCCTTAAATGGGAAGTGTAGGGTTTGCAGTTTGGATACCTTAAACGGCAAGTCACGCATAAAAATACCCGGGAATCAAAAACACTTCCCTGAAGTCGAAACACACTCCTTTCTCAAGTAGAAAATTTGAAGAAGCGATTTCCTCCAACTGTGTGCAATAAAAGACATGTTCTGCAGTTTTTTTCACAGAGTCACATCTGCAAAGACATCGAGAACCAATGGGTAAAATGCGTGCCACTTAAGTAGCCATTTTCTAACGTGTGCCTGCAAAGGCCAGCACCCCGGCGGGACTGAAATATCTTGGGATTGTGCTGCCTGACACTAATACTGCAACTTTCCCAAGTAATTCTTCCTGACCGAAACTACATGAGATGCGTCACGCATCGTAGATGGACAAGTCCGCATTCGCGGGAGCTCCACTTCCTGGACGCACACACATACGTACCAAAGCGCAACGCTGAACCGTAGATAAGACAAGACGGAGGCTCCAACGAGGCGCGGCGGATGACCACGTACCATAACCCGCTTGTAACCGACAGAACAGCAAGCTCTCGGGTCAGCAGTAGTGTTGGGCGCACTAACGCTTGATGGCCAGGGGACGTAGGTCCACCGGTCTCCCTTTTCTATTAGTATTCCTTCTGCTCATCAAAAGGGCTCAGAGAGAGCCTGCCCTCTCGATGCCTTATTGCTAGCCGGGAAAGCAAATCTTTGACGAAGCCACACGTCTGTCAGTGGGTGAAATTTCTCGGACAATGTCTTTAATGCCCCATGTCCGCCCAAGATTCGAATTTGCCAAAAGTTCCTTCGCCCCCCCCCCGCACTTCCATGGCAAATACCTTCCGACTGCAAGCCACGAAACCGAGAAGTCTGGCATGTGTCTAAATCAGGGACACTCCCCATCTCGCGCGAGCTGTGTCGAAGCCCCCAGCCGTCGAGCAGACTAAAACGCTAGTCCGGGGGTTACATGTTGCAATTCCGGGTTGTGAGCCAAGGCTTCCCGATGAGCAACAACAGGCCTGAAACAGTAGCCCACGCGTCGAAACAAACTACCTATCCTGGGCATCGATAAAGTCCAGAAAACCCTTCGGAAAGTTTGATTCCCGTCGGCAAACTCGATCCATGTCGCCATACTGATTCAGAAAAAGGGAATTTACGAAACCGAATTATTATTATGTATCTGGTAGTAGAAAATAGAGGGGGTGGGGGTGGTACAGAATTTAAACCGGAAGGAGATAGTGACATGGGCAAAAGATCTGCAATCTTGGACGGTGAATTGGAAAACGGATGAAGAGTCCTCATGACTAGAAATCTTCCATGCCGGGCAGGGGGAAAGAGCTCGCAAATTCAATAATTTCTGCACGAAGCGTCTTCATGGAGTCCTTTACCTCCTCGTCAGATGCCAAAACAGCCTACGAGATGAAGGAGAATAAGACGTGTTTAGTTATAAAGTCCGCTGCATAAGTGTTTACTGGGAATTATTAGTGTAGAATAGGCAGGAGGTCAAGGATATTCACAAGATAACGTGATATGATGGGAGAGCGTTCACCGACCAGGTTACGGGACCTGCTAGTACCGTTGCGCAAGACTCGAAAGTCAGGTCCCGAAAATATATAAGGTTGGGCGTGCATGACTGACGACGGTTAATAGGCTAGAAATGGTCGTCCCAGTCTCCCCTGTCTTTGTCATTGAAAAGGTATGTCTCAACGACAAACAAATCTGGCGACGCACACTAAACTGAGAGCGATGGGTTTCACCATTAGGGTTATGCACGTATGTAGCTCACTAAACGGATCCCTATGGTCGTCTCTCGGATCGAGACTCACCGGTTAAGACCAACCGTTGGCGGGTAAAGGGCGGCAGGTGGTCGAGTAGACGGTTAAGAGACAACACAATGGGTGGTAACGGTGTAACAGCGACCTTAGACTTCAGGGCGTCCGAAGGTGCGCAGTGGTGAAAGGGACTTTACGTTCAAACTCCGATGCTTCCGATTTCACCTTGTTCAGACTAGAGCGGGCTCTAAGCTACTAATGAAGTCGAAATTACTGTCAGGTCTAAGCCAAGAGGAGTCGGTAACACTAGTCGAACTCTAATGCTGGTTCGTTAAGAGTACCGGTATTATTTTTCAACAGCTGACTATTGCCTGCTTTCCTGATACCGCTGCAGTGCTTGATCCAGTCGACAGAAGTGTCATATGGATGGCCTAAGTGGTTGTGGAGTGGTCCATACCCTGGGTGTCTACTGCAACACTGCCTCCGTCCCCAAACTCTCATCGAATACAGCATTTTTGTACCTATCGGCATGCTACTATTTTGATTTCAATAACCCATTTTGTTTGTATTTGCTTTAACACAGCGGAACTAACTGCGTGCACATACAGTAAATGTGTAGCGACCATAAGAGATTGTAGTGGTCTTACCCTCGGTGCCTGCTGCAACACTGTGCCTCCGTCCGGCGCATACTTACACGCATGTAACAGCGGCAGTCGTCCACACGACATTCTGAGACTCCGTATGATTCTCTCAGCACGTCTGGCCAATCCCAGAAACCGAGAGACTCAACATAGTTTTCGACCAATCAAAGCTGCCCAAACCAACCAATCAACCGAGACCGACTTGGACAGGCCCTTACTGAAGATGTTTGGACATGCGCGCCTTCCGTCCGACCGTCAGCTCACCGCAGCCTATCCTTCCTCCATTGTGTATATAAAGTATTCTTTTTACTGGCGTCTAACTCCTATTTCTACCCGCGATCGGACTACGGGTTTGCCTGTCGCGACAAGCGAAATAATTAAATGATGCCAACCCACGTGGATGAAGACCCAAATTGACTGCGAGACGAGTCAATACACCGGCGTCAAGGATGGCATCGGAGAAGGCCAGACACCATCACCAGAGGTCGATTATGATGGCTTTCAGGGTTCCTAATATGCCGAAGAAACCGTTCTGTTTGGGAACTCCCTCACGATGGCGTAATGTACCCTCAACCTACAGCGGGCAGACTGAACTCGAAACTGAGGTTGCATGCGGCAAGGAATATCCCTTTTCCTCCTAAAATCGAGGCGGTCGACATACAGCAGGCGAGCTAACTCATGAAATGTCAACCGAAATCCCGAAATGCGTTTTCGTTTCGAAAAGATCTATTAAGTTGGGTTGTAAAACTAATCATCGTGCAACATAATTCTATAATAATTCAATTACCTCGGGATGCCGGCTTTCGAACGAACTTCTTTCCGGCTGGATGCAAAAAATATACTCTGTAAAAAATGACTACCTAAGTAGCATGCAACCCCCTTATTGATTTCCGATGCCCTTAAACATTCAATAATATTTCATGAAAACATGCATAAAAATATTCATTCTTCTGCTCAGTCGGTAGAAAATTACGTATTCTAATTTTATACTCGATGGAGGGAAATAATTCGGTTTTCAAAAATTTTTCCAATCCGCAAATTCAGGGTTTCAGAACTACAAGCCGTATATTTTCCGTGTACGGAAAACCATACATATCTCTATGGCATTAAGAGGAGACTATATGGGGACAATAAAATTTAGCAGTGAACTTGAGGCATATTGTTAACTTTAAAAGCCACATTGGCAAATGCAAAAAGACATGACCTTTAATGAACGGTCACGTTACGGTATTAAGAAAAATCTCACAATTAGAAACATTTTAGAACCGAATTACACCCTTCCTTCAAGCATAAAATTTGAAGAGGACGTAATTTCCTACCGAATGAGTAAATGAGTGAATATTTTTATGCATGTTTTCCATGAAATATAATTCAATTTTCAAGGGCGCCGAAAATAAATGAGAAAAATGAATGCTACATTAGTAGTCATTTTTTACAGAGTGTAGTTTTTGCATGCAACCGGAAAGACGTTCGTTCGGAAGGCGGCATTATAGAATTATGCTGCATGATGATTAGTTATACAACCCCCCTCAATTAATCTTTTCGAAACGAAAACGATTTTCGGTTGACATTTCATGAGGTAGCTCACCTACTGTATGTTGTCCAGTACCACTGAGGGAAAAAAACTGTCGATACAATTAAAAATAAAGTCTTGTTCTTTTTTGGAGGAGGGGAGGGGGGGGATTCAAATTAACTGCGCCGTTCAAGGAGTAGCGCACAAGCCCCTCTCCGCTTCCTGGAGCTTTTCGCACTACGCGTAGGCAGGGGGGAGGGAAAAACGCCGATGTGACTTACCTCAAAGTCATTGATGTTATTGGAGGCGGCACGTTTTGAAATCTCCTGGGCCAGTTGTATGCCCCGATGTATAAAGTCCGCCACACGGTCCATGTCCTCCAGCTGAAGGCCTCGCGATGTCAGCGCCGGAGTGCCCAGACGAACTCCACTCGGACTGTTGAGGGTGAGCATGGACGGAGAGGATTATGCGGTGGCATTGGAAAAAAGAAGGACACAGAGTGAGCGGTGAACGCCGACCAAAAAGACTCACCGCATGGCGCTGATGTCACCAGGCACCGTATTCTTGTTCACGGTAACACCCAGCAGGTCCAGCACGGAGCAAACCCGGACACCGTCCAATTTGATTGGCCGGAAGTCAACCAGTAAGAGGTGCGTGTCGGTGCCACCGGTAACGATCTAAATTCAGCGGAGAGGTGTGCACATGGCTTGAGAAATTTGTAGTGACCAGGCGGTGTGAGTGTGTGCAGTCTGAGCACTACAATAATCAGGGCAAATCCTGGTGTTGTAGGGAGAAGACAAAAGGAACCAGAATGTTGGGTTTATTGTGCATAGAAACCGGAGTTGTCCTCTCAGGCAGCAGTGGCCACTGGCGAAGCCAGGGGTGGTGTTGACTGCGTCCAGTCACGCCTGAGAGTCACTGAGATAGTGGTGGCAGCCGCTTTTGTGGGCTCGTGGGCCAAGCTCAAGTGGTGTCCAGTCAGTGTGTGTTGCATTTGCCGAGGGGTGGTGTCCCAGTGGCTTAGGTTGCGGTTGCAGGGGAGAGGTGCGTCCAAGTAGCCGAATGGGCAGCTGCGGCTGTGCGGACGCAGGTATGCCCGAGCTGCCGGTCGTGTGACTTCAGGTCAGCGCGTCTGGAACGGCTCATTGCAAAAGGGTGAATGACCTAGAGGCGGCATGGCACTGACGCCAGACCGTTCATGATGGCTGCTCCCTACAAGTCCACTGAGAAGGCACGTGTCGCGAGCAAATCACAGTGGGTGAGACCACAAAGGAAAGGGTAATAATCATCTGCCGATACGGGCTAAAGAGATACGAAGCTCGTCTATCGAATTTTAGAAAAGACCAATTGAGTTTGACTGTGTTAGTTGCTCTCTGAAAGTCCCTCGTCTAGGAAGATCTGCCCTCAGCATCTACCAACAGGACTTCCGCATCTGCATAATCAACCACTGTTCCACCTACGTGGGCCACATCCGTGGGAGTGCCACAGAGGTCATGGCAAGGTGTCATTGCAGCCTGACTCCGTTCTGAGAAGGATAGAGTAATCCCGTCCGGTTGGCAGCCACGGCTTTTGCCGAGCCGTAATTGACTGGAACGCCTCAGATTTTTTATGGTGAGGAATGCGTTGACGGTGTCGCTCTCCCCTCGCCCATCAGCCCGCTGTTCGAGTCAGTCGCCCACCTGATTCTCTGATTTGGCGCAACTGACCGGCGCGGAGAGAGCCTGCGCCTAGGCGTGACGGCACGCACATACACGGAAATAGTTAAGAGCATCCGCGGACTCGGCGCGACGCGATCTGTGGCCCAAATCCATCCACGATACGAACACAGACTTCAACAGACAAAAAGCAGGACCTACCTGATAGCCATACTCCTGCAACTTGGCGGCCAGGCGACGCGAATTGGCCAGAACCTGCCTCTGATAGTCGGCGAACGCGGGTTGGGCGGCCTCATGCAGGCCCACGGCAATGGCAGCGATGTTGTTGTTGTGAGGGCCACCCTGAAGACCCGGAAAGACGGCCTCATTGATGCGCTGCTCGTAGTCCGTCGCCACGAAGGTGTCACCACACTGAAGATGGAATGGAGGCAAGTTCTAAAGTGCTGCTCGGAATGCTTTCCGAAAACAGTGAGTACCTAAGATGCAGCCCAACTGAATGGAAGCCGCCTCATGTTCAGATAGGTTGGAGAAGTTGGGTGGTAGGACTCCCGCTTCTTCCCCTGTGCTAAATTGCAGGATTTAGACGGGGAGACAGTACCACGGGGGTTTCCTATTCTGTTGTCTTACTGCTTAGTCTGTGAAATAAATAGTTTAAGATAACTGAGTCTTCTTCTCGTTGCTCAGGGCCCGAGACAGGAGAGAAGACGACCGCGTGTAAGGGCTGTTTTGTGAAAATTACAGTGCTTCGAGAAAACTGGTTATTGATAGGTTGTTAACACACACCCGATGGTCTAGGTACAATGCCAGCTTCTTCACTGTAATGGACGCTGCAGGGGTCTAGGTCAGACAGTTGGAATAAGTCGGATAATGCTTTATGACTCTGTATCACCAGCTGAAGTAGAATTGAGAGTAGGCAAACCTACATCCAGGGCGATTAAACCGGTAGCCAAGTAGAATGGAACTAATACGCGGCAATCAAGATGGCAGACATAAAAATGTCCAGATAAAGTTTGCTTACTAATATGTAATTAGTAGCAAACATTGGTGCAACTTTGAAGTATGCGGAAAGTCGCGTAGGTTTTGGCTGCAAAAGTAGGGTAGAGCCAACGCGCTAACCACCTGAGCTACGAGGATCCGACAAAGAGACTAGGATTTTTCTCATTTGAAATAAGTTAGCCGCCTAACCTGTTCAAACGTATGAAATCCGCTAATAGAAGCGAAGAGGCGGGCTCCAGGAAGTAGTCGCCAAGGAGGAGACACGCTGCAGTGAACCGAAAGAAAATGGCTACCCGCGCAACTTCGTCAACCAGTGCCTGCGCAAACGAGACTAGAGACGAAATCCAACTGAACCCAAATTTTGGCAGGCTCTCCCGCCTTCTCACACACTTTGGGATTGAATTAGCTGACAGACAGGAGGCAACCATAAGGTGTCAGGTCGAAAGACCCATTGCCACGCAGCAGCGGTGAGGAGGAAAGACGCCAGCACCCAAGTCGCGGCCTACCCGACGGGACCCAACCATAAACTCAAGTTTGACGAAGTAGGCTTCTTAAAAGGGGTGGCAACCGCGTGAGCCGTGAGCTGTTCGAGTCATGGTTCTCCGGTCCTCAGTCAATCAACAAGCGCAATGACCTCCCTGATCCATATTCGGCGTTGAGACTTTGTCTAGGCAAAGTAGTTAGCCACGAGGACAGCGTACGGATGACAAACAATTGTGAAGAACTCAGCCACTCGGATTCGAATGGAACAGTGATTTTAGAGTAGCCGGTAATTGCAGGCTCGGGATTTACGTTAGGACATCAAGAAACAAAGCCGTATTCGAGACAAGATGCGGCCGGGATCATGCCAAATCTGGTTGGCCTCAAAGCCATGCACAGCACTTCTTCATGCGTGAAGATAAGTGGATTTGGAACCCGACCTGTTCCCTTGCCCAAAATTGGGGACTTAAGGGTCAAAAACCGCCTTCATGTTTTGAACGACTGTTCAGATTCTTCGGCAGTTTTCCTCTTAAGTGCTTCCTTGTTTCTGATGGTACTGTCGAAGCCAGTGCGGGCTGTCTCATTCGAGACGAGGTCGGAGTACTCCGCTCGAGGGATGACTATTAGGCAACGGTGGTCGAAGTCTTTTAGTTCTGACGTTCGTCTTTCGTGTGTACCGACCGGCCATAAGCGCGACACATGCGAACCCTCCTATAAATACTGCAGCCCCTTGTGCATGCACCACCCGTGTCTGCTTTTGTCTCTGATGATGGGTTCGAGCAGGAATCCGAAACATCGGGCTAATAAAGCTCATGTCCCAGCGACCGTGTCTCCCTCCTCAAGGTCATGGCATGTTTGACTGATTGGCACCCACGGCATCCGAGTCCGCCCCCGGCTGTTCGGAGCCACACGGAAGAGGAGACAGAGCATGCGATAGGCGCTGCGCAAGTCACCATTGCTGCGCACACGACGGATGTCATAGTTCGCGACGGTTGAACTCTTGTATGAGTCCGTTGCGGAGTGAGTAATGGGTGATGATTAAAGGTCTGCAAGCGTCTGCTATGCCAGGATCAGCAAGCCATAGCTCGCGCGACGCGTTATGTGCTGGAAGTCCTATGTCACCTAGTCCTCTGCCGGTAGATGTGCTTGCGCTCCTATTGGGTATAGAGGTCGTTAGCATGGCTGCTCAGTCATCCTCTTCGTATTCCTGGTCCGCTGTAGTGCTGTTGTGAATGGTTAAAATCATGGTCAAGTGTAGATTGTGGATCAGGTTGCGTGGTGGTACGCCTAGATGTGGGTCCGGCCGTCACAGACACCTGCGCGCTCCCTCACACCTCCGGTCTTCTTTGCTATGTCCTGACCTCGGACCCGGGTGGAAAGTAGGGGGAGAGAGTGCGGTAGATGCTAAGCAAGTCTACTTTCACTATAGACCAATTCACGCACAGGTCACCGTCTCTGCAATCATCTTGTTGTGGAGTACTCCCTCACCTTCGGTCTTCTTGACTATGTCTTGACATCGGGTCCAGATGGGAGATGAGAGAGAGTGCGGTAGATGCTGCGCAAGTATACTCTTCTGTGGAGCACACGGTGGAAATCGTCGTGCACGGCGGTCGACCTGTCAGCGGGTGCCGGCTCAGCGATTGCTTTTATGCGGGTGGGTAGTTGTACTGTCGTGGCCCGTTTTAGCTCCACTCAGTATCCCAGTGACAGTGATCCAATTTGCCGTGCAATTGTCACACCAGCATCCAACACGGCCATTAACGACTCAGACGCGGACTGACAAACCGCCGTCGCATCAATTACGACCCCAGCGGTGACTGCGAGAACTGCTAATAATAGTACGCATATGTTCCCACAGCAGCTACGTACTATAATTACTTTACTCCTTGTGCCACCATTACCCTTATCTGCCACTGTCTCTGATGATGGATTCGAGTGAGAGTCCGAAACGTCAGGCCGGTGTTCCAGTGATCGCACCTTCGTTTTCTGAACTGCTACATGGAACCCGCCTGTTTGCTTCTATCAGATGGGTTTGCAGAGAATGGAGAAAATGTGATTGGATGGTACTGCAGTCGACAGCCCGCAAATCGTGACCCTGCCAAACACGCCTAAACCTCGGGGATTGCAGTCTAACAGCAGTTTCCATCCTTCTGGGCGATCTCCCGGGGTCTTTAACCATGCAGTTCGTACATCTAGTCATAGACCAGATCTTTGAGACTGGCAAAATAAAAGGTACAAGTTCGGGAGATGATACCTGCTAGGAACTGTGAACTGGAACAGAAACGAACCCGCGACCTCCACCGTTTCCCGCACTCCGAATCGACTTTCAACCATCCGGCCGATCACGCCTACGCCCATCGGCTGCTAGGCAGTTACCAACAAGCGAGACGCACCATTACAAGCAATAAATCAACCAACAGAATTCTACCTAGTAAGGAATAGACCGTGCACACTTGCGCACCCTTGACGCACCTATAGCCATAAAATGGGACAGAATAGGTCAAGGGTTCAATACAACACACGTAGAATGGGTATCTTAGGATTCACAGGATGTGGAAATTAGAATGAACGATAGATTTCCTCGAGTAAAGTGCTTTCAAAAAAAAATAACGCTAGACAGACCCCATTCACGACGGTGGTGGCTGTGCGGGCGGCTTTGCCCTTCGGCACTGGCGCAGGTTTGCGCTTGCGAAAGAAGATCATGGCGCCGCGGGCCGCTCGTAGCGTCTTGTGGGTGGTTGTCGTGACAACATCCGCGTACTCGAAAGGCGAGGGATGGAGACCGGCTGCAACCAGACCACAGATGTGTGCCTGAGGGGACACAACAAGGGCAGTGAGAAGGCGTGGCAATCGAAGAAGAGACATGAGCAAAGCAGAGAAGGGGAGGGGGGACTGCGGCAGTACCATGTCAGCCATGAGGATGGCCCCCACAGAGTCGGCAATTTGACGAAACCTTGCGTAGTCCAGCTGGCGTGAGTAGGCACTTGTGCCGGCGACGATCAGCTTGGGTCTGAAGAGCTTCGCCGTGGTGGCCAGGGTATCGTAGTCAATCAGACCGGTTGTCTTGTCAACGCAGTAGGGCATCGACTCGAAGAAGAGGGAGGTGGCGGAAACCTAAATTGTGGTGATGGGGCGACGGATAGAGAGAAGAAGGGAATAGAGAGATGTCAATATCGAAGGCACAGTCAACAGGAAAATCGCAGACCGCCTACTTCCTGCAGTAAACTGCAGAAAACTATTCGCAAACTGTGAAGGCCGGGAGTCTCTTGTATGTGACGTCTACGGCTGCTACCACAGAACGTCAGTACCTAAGAACAGCTAATCGCAGGTAACACAGTTCGGTCAGACGGATATCCTAGGTGGGTTTTCGGTGGACGTCCCCCTACGTTTATGTTTACCCCTAAAACAGGCCACGCGGTAGATGCACTGGGCCAGTGCGAGGTGTAGATCGGGGTCCGACGGGCGTTATTGGGAATGCACACGCCTAGGAAACGCCAACAATGGGGATGTGGTGGCGCGCCTAGTTGCAGGCTCGAGCCGCGCCAATTGGGGTCTGAGCCGACACCTCTTCATCTCTAGTTGTGTAGAATCCTGGTCAGTGTACGCTGTGGACCAGAGGGTGAGGTGGTACGCCTAGATGCGGGTTTTCGCCGTGCCATCCACCTGCGCCCTCTCCCGTCTCCGGTTTTCTTGACTGCCTTGACACCGGATACAGGTGGGGGAGGAGAAGGTCGTGCAGCCAGTGCTGTGCAAGTCTACTATCACTATCAACTAATTCACGCACAAGTCGCTGCCCCTGCTCTCATCCGGCTGTGGAGCACACGGTGGACATCGTCAATCACGACGAACTGTCACGCCCATGCACCATAAAAACCATTTTATTGCAACTTACGTCTACTACTTGTTTTATGTGAGTAGTTGGTATTGATTTACTGAAACTTCTCATGGCTTCGAAACTCTAATCGGTGCTTTTAATGTACCAAATGGCTTCCACGACAGGATGAAACCCTCGGCCAAATTTACATCATTACACAGCAAGTAATTTCGTGCTCTCCGCCGGAAGTCCGCCTTACCGCAATGAGCGGACGGTGGGTCCAACATGCAGGAGCAACTTGCTCATAATTCGGTCTTTAGATGAAGGTTCAGTCAGTAAGGCAACAGGCAAAACTTATGAGACGATGTCTCAGTGGTTTCCCCGAACTCTGTGACATCGTACAGACTAGTCGGCATACCACATATCAACCCTTCACATCCTAATGATGGAGCCGTTCTTTGTCAGTGACTGCCTAGTTGTCAAAAGTAAACGGCTACTTCTTTCACGGCCAATAGTCGTCGCTGAAGACTGCTCAACTATGCGCCACCAATACATAGCCAGTAATTAAGCCCCAACGTCCCGACTTCGAACGAGGGCAGTCAAATACACTAATTGAACCATTTCCCCAGGCAGGCGTCTTGGCGATCATCAGCGCTTGAAGACCATTCACGAGTTCCAGAAGTCAAATCAGTACACCTTACATGCCATTTCGCAAATGCTTCTATGCTTGTGCAAAAGAAGCCTGTTCCTCAAATTTTCAGTTGTGGCTCGGAAGGTTACCAAGTGCGCACACACTGCAATAAACATCTGTCGAGGACGCTGTAAAAATTACCGAGATTGATAATGAGGACGGAACCGAGTCCTCTCATAAGGCCCCGAGGGAGCGGTTCTAATGATGTTGATAATAATAGTGATACGATGGTAGAGGGACACTCACCGATCGTACTTACGGAACTCACTCGTTCCGTTTAGCCCTATGGGTTCTCTCTCGAGCCCAACCAGCAGCCGCACAGCGGAACATGATATAGGTAGGTCGCGAGTTCGGGCCCCAGGTGCTCCACACTTCGGGGTAAGGTATGACTGGCTGACGACGGCTAATAGGCCAGAAGTTGCCATTCCAATTCCCCTTGTCTATTTGGGTAATACCATTCTGCCAATTCGGTTGAGATGATTTACACGAAGAAATTCTTCTGTTGATGTTATGTTTTAGCCGTAACGCCTAGCTGGTAGCTCGTTCTACAGCTCTCCGCCATCGGACTCTCAAATGAGAACTCACCAGAAGGGTAAAAGAACAGGAAGTCTATTGCTGAGTCCTAGCGGCGAAAATCTGGTGATAAAACGTATACACAAAAATGCACAAGGCCAGTCTGGGACCGAGCCAATCAGGTTATGACCTTGAGCTGGTAACGTGTCAACAGGGCTTCTGACTCATCTGAGTGTCTGGGCTCCCCCCTCCAATCTTGTCGGTGGCTGGCGAGACATCAACACGCGCATGCGGTGTGGACGGATGGACGGGTGGCGTGCGAACGAGTCGGTCAGGGCGGAGGCGGAATTCGCCAGGAGACGGGTATAGGGACGCCGGCGTCTTTTGCTATGACAGCCTTGCCCAGAAAGGACGAAAGCAACGACGCGCAGCGAAGGCTCGACGTTCCCCCACAAGTGTTGAACCCCCCTCGGTCCAATAGCTTCTCCGTACCCGTCCGTTCTACACATTTAACAGAGTGCAGAATGTGTGATGCCTTTTAATCACGCTCGGAATGGCGGAGAGAACTGCATGCAGACAGCGTCGTGCTGATTGTCGAAATCGATAATCGGGCAGGGAGGACCATGGAGACCGATAGAGGCACGGTGAGGGGCGGTCGACGTCACCATGACAGGGTTTAAATACCAGTTCCTCCGGCATGGGACTGGCGCTGCCTGTCCGGTAACTAGGCCGCTGCGCTGTGACTCCGATCAATAGGGGGGGGGGGGAGGTTCTAGCCTCAGCGCCTTGCGTGACGCTAACGGCGTTTCGCCTACAGCAATGGACACAGGCAATGTTACCGGCAGAAGGGAACGTAATGTAGTGGAACAAACGACGAACTCAGAGAGACGACGGGTACTTGGGTCAAGCTGGCAATAAGTGAGATCTTATCCCCCCCCCTCAGCTGCCTGGAAGTCATTGGTAAAGGCCGTAGATTAGCGATAAGCGACGGAATGAATTACGAATACAGCTAAATGGTAAGATATTTGTGGTATAGCGGGTAACGCGCCCGGTCAAAAACGCAGAAGCCTGGGTCCCCACATTCGGCGTACACTGTCCACATTCATATATTCAGACACCCAGGGCGTAAATGCATCCAATCATGGCGGTAGCGTCCCCAAGCTAGCTAGCACCGAAATCGGCACAGGGTGTCCCAAAAGCCACTATGAGGCACACATCCCTCGGCTATATGGTCTACCTAAGATCCATAAGGAAGGCCTGCCAGTCCGTCCAATCCTAGACATGCGAAACTCTCCGTATCATGCGATAGCAAAGTGGCTAGCAGAGAAACTCAAGCCTGTACAGCGTCAGCTAGCACCACGCAGCTACCGAGATACCTTTGAATTCATTGACGACATCAAAGACCTTAACGTCAATGGCATGGTGATGTTCTCGCTAGACGTCTCATCACTTTTTACAAACGTTCCGGTCACCGAGACAGTTGATTACATCTGTGATTTCCTATCTGCCAGTCAGCAGGAAATAGGACTCCCGACGAAGGCACTCAAGGAACTGTTACGAAAATGCACATTAAATGTGCAGTTCCTGTTCGACAACCAACTTTATAGACAAGTAGACGGCGTTGCTATGGGCTCACCCCTTGGACCTCTCCTAGCAGATGTCTTCATGGGCAAATTAGAGCGATTCCAACTAAGCGATCAGATCGATAAGCTTCAACATTACGGTCGCTACGTTGATGATATCTTTGCAATTGCCACTGCAGAAACCGACGTAGCCACCCTCTTAGATGCGGCAAATCAGGCACATCCGTCGATCAAATTTACGCTGGAGATCGAAACGGCCCGTTCGCTCCCTTTGTTAGATGTTCTTCTAAGCAGGAGACCTGACGGGAGTGTCCGAAGAAGCGTCTATCGGAAGAAAACCTGGTCTGGTCTTGAGCTAGAAAAATTTGCCCAACAGATAGCATAGAGGAGGAGCTCAGAAAAATCCAGGACTTCCTTCGCGAAAACGGGTATCCTGACAGGTTTATTGCAAAGGATATCGCCAAGCGACCGCTCAGACCCCACACACCCACCGCTGAAAAGAAAGCTTTGTTCCTCAAGGTCCCTTTCCAAGGAGACGCTGCGAGTGAACTCCTAAGGAGACGCCTTGATCAAGCTGTCTCGAGAACCTTCCCAGCAGCAAGGGTTCAAATATCATTCTCTACTAACCCAATTTTAGGCGGAGAAGGTAACGATAAGTTGGCCCCGCAGACCACCTCAATGTGCATCTATTCCTTCACTTGCTCCTGTGGAGCAGGTTAGATTGGTCGCACGAGTCGGCGCTTATCCAAGAGAATACGGGAACACCTCCCAGAGTGGTTGGGAAAAGGCGAAAAAGGGAGCATAAGCAGCGCCGTTATCGTGCATTTTGTCGATTCCGGATATCGTGTGGACCCCAACGAAGCTATTCCTGTGATTTATAAGGTCCCATCGAGCTATCCGAAGCTACTCGACCAGCCCCTGTTAGCAACACCAGAAGCGGCCGCCATTAGGTTACGAAAGCCGGCCTTGCGCGCACAGAAGAACCACGTTCAGGCTCCGCGCCTACAGTGGTCGAAGGTCGACTAACGTTGCAACTCTCCGCGCCTTTCCGCTCTCAACCCGCCCCTGACAGTGACTGCTATAACGCCCGCTCCCCCACATTCCCACACCCGGACTGTGTTTTAAGGCGAACTTCAATCAATTTCTCTGATCACTGGCATATTTTTATTTATACCCCGTTCCCATTTAACTGCACTGGCCCGACGAGAATTTATCGAAAGCTACGTATGCTCGCCATCCCGTCTTCTGACTAGGTGAATTCTTTGTGTACATTTATTTTCAGGTACCACTCGAAGAGAAGTGGAGCCACCTTTGGTCGAGTTGTCAGCAATAAAGCCGCCGTTCACATCGCGAACAGAGTCAAGTTGGGCTTTGCAGTTTTTGTAAGCACATTATTACCTTGCCCATAGCTCGCCAATATTGACGTTGGGGCCGCGTCGCAAAATTGTCACCTGCCAAGATGTTCTTCGATGCCCGACTGCGG